TGTTAAAACATAACATTATTAAAAATTAGTGATTTTTTGTGTAAAAATAAATACAGTTCTTGTATAATTTATGAACAAAATTATTTTTGAGAAAATTCATTTTTCAATATTATTCAAAGTTTGGGAATAATTTAAATAAAAATACGTACAATATGTTTTTGATTGATTCTTGATATGTCCTTTGGAAATGATTCTTAAAAAATTAATTTATGAATATGAATTTATTATTATGAATTCTACGGTTTAGGTATCACATTACAGATACATACAATTTTTAAATACAACTAAATGTTCAATGGCTTTAATCACACATTTAATTTTATATTTAATTTACTTTATATAATAGCTTTCATTAAATATTTAATTTACTATTTACTAGTAACCATTTACCAAGGAATAGTCAATACTAATTAAATTGTTAGATTTTTAAGGATTAATATATAATAAATGTTAGTAAGTTTATTTAATATTCATTATTTAAATTAATTTTTAATTTAATTAAGTTTATTTAATTTTTGTTTAATCAATAAATTTTATATTAAATAGCAAAGTAATACATTACAAAAATTAATTCTGAACTATCTCAACACTAAAATAACTTAACATATCAAAGAAACTATAATTATAGGGAAGACATCGTTATACTGATTATTACTAATTATTACTAACACGTTAAGCACAATTGTTAAAAGTTCACAAACCGAATTGCAATTAAAAAAATAAAACAAATTTTGGATACATATAGCTCTTTCACAATTATTCCCTAATATCAATTTATTTTTGCACAAGAAATAACTTATTTACTGATTAAAATATGAGATTCACACGTAATCAGTCTTATCGCAACAAAAACATTTTTTTTTTTTGTTATATAACTTAAATTTATCTTATTTTTTGTTTTTATCTTCTACGAACGAAACAAAGTAAAATTTGAGCGTATTTCAATGAAGCAAAGTTTTTTCATACGACGATGAGTTGACCAACCGTGCTTCATGAACTTCACGGTGAATGGCTGAGAATGCAACTTTCCAGAAATTTAATTCAAAGTTTTGGAACGTCTAGTGCGCTGCTCTCAGTTTCTGCTACGTATTAGGGTGTCTTATCGCAAGTTGTGCGCTCTACGTTATTAACAATATATCAGGAGTTTGTACATAAAGGCATACTTCCGATTCACAAGAGAATACTTTACTTGAAATATTCTTTAGGGCATGTTTCGATGGAAATTTGATAAATCTTATTATTTCTTGTTACCACTATACCCCAACGCGATTGGGTTTCCTGCGCTTATACACGTACACGTGATCTGTTGCCACTTGCCCTATTACACGAAGATTATTCGAAAATAAATAAGAGTTTTCCAAGTGCTTTAAATACAGTGGAAAGAATATACAATAAAGGAATAAAGAAGGAAACATAATGCTTTAAGATATACTAACAATAAAATACTTAATACGAAGGATACTCGTGCAATTGAAGGATTTACAACAGAATAAGTCTTTTTTTAATTTTGGTAGTTACCTAATCGAGTTAATTAAATTTTGGTAAATACCGAAATATCGAAATATCGATTACTATGAGAGTAATTGAAGTCGATCTTTGGATATACATTGGTATAAAATTTATGAAATATTTGTTATTATAATATTTATTAATATTTCTTATATTTGTTATCATTTATTTTATTTTGTTATGGAAAAAATAAAATATATACATATTTTTATTCTTTCTTAAATATATTTGTTAGTAAACATAAATTTCTTCGCAAATTTCAAAATGTTCAATTCAAGTGTATATTTTATTTATTTATTTTTTTATATTTAGATTTTATGTACTATTTCATGAATTTCGATTTACAGTTATTAAAAATTTTCCTAAAATTTATTATTACATGCTACTTTGATATAGATCTGTACACGTGTGTACATATTATTAAATTCACGATATTAATATTAATATTTATCAAAGACTTTGTAATTATATTTCATTTTATGGTATTAATATATACAAAAAAGATACAACATTAATATGTGTGTTTAATATTCTTTTACTAATATTTATATAAAAATTTGTTGAAAATGGCATACAAATTTCTGTTATCGATTAGACAAATTATTTAGGAAATTTAAATGCTTCTAGATTAAATGAAAAAATTATATACATAATCTAGGAGATGAAAATTCGTTATAAAAATAATTAAGCTGAACAGAGCCAAATAATTTATAATTCTTTAATTATACATTTTTTTGTCGACACTTCCTATTAAATAGCCTTCTAATTTCATTGGTCAATTTTTGTTTATATAAATAAGGCTTTCTCGTGTATGTGAAAATAGAATTGGAAAAATAATTATAAAAATATGCAAGTACTTTCAATTATTTTATTTAATTAGAAATATATGTATTTCAATTATTTTCAAGTTATAGATTTTATTATTTACCTGATATAACAAGATAGTAAATTTTATATAAAAATGCAGTTAACAATTGATTTCTTTAGCTATATACAGAGGCAAAAATATATTTCATAAATCAACAACCTTCCATCATTTTATACATTTTAAAGTCGTAGACACCACCTTTTGTAAATTACAATTACATTGCATACTCTATTCAAAAATTTAGCTATTCATTAACAGACACAAATATCAATAATAAAACCAATTAAACCTTCCATTGCAAAATATCACTGACACAATAATTAACCTCTTCAGGGATTTGACACATATGTGTACATTTAATTTTTAAAAGTTAAGATTATTATAAGTAAAAAGAAAATTAAAATCAATTGGAGAACTATTCACCACAGAATCCTTCAACTTTAAAAGAAGACCTCGTCGAATACTTACTGAATTGTTATCAATATAAAAAAATTAAATAATTCTTTTCCCATTTTAAAAAATTCATTTCTGGACTGGTTAAATCCGAAAAATTACATCATCCTCTGACCATAAAAATTAATTAATACTAAACCTACCACGACCGAGTAAAAGACCAGCAGATAGAAAAATTAAAAAAGAACTTAAAACACAACGAAATAAGAAAAAAGTATTGAAAAATTCATAATACATATACTAAAAAAAAAAAATAAAAAAATCAAATAACTGTAACGATAACTCTAAACACAGAATTTTTAATAAAGAAATTGAAAAATAATCATTTAGGCTGTGGTTAGTGTTAACCCTTTGCACTCGATGATCTTTTCGTTACAGAAACATAGCAATTCGGAGGCTTTCTGCCATAAAGTCGACGATATTTTCAAAATGGTAAATAAGAAGTGCAAATTAACAATAAGACGTAGAATTATTTTACCTCGATATTCCACGTGTCGTTGGGCAATTTTCGCAATGGTTGTTGGTTATTTTATGGGATTTTGTTAAAATATCGGCTAATTTGGGATTTTATTTGACAACTTTGTAATTTGGGATTCGATTGGCATTTTTGTCGAATTTTGTTTCGAAACAATTATGAGTTATTGTAGAAATGTGAAACTTTTAGTTTGAAGAAATTAAGAAGTTTGTTAATTTGGGATTTTGTTCTTCGAGATCAGAATGATTACTAATTACCTAATTTTTGAATTTTATTTGAATAAAAATTGTTAATTTCTTATTTCTATAACGTGGCAGATTAATTTTTAAAAATTGTTAATTTGGAATTTTATTCGAGATATTAAATAACAACGATCTTTAAAATCTGATTAAATGACGACAGAGAGTCGCATCTCCAGTGCAAAGGGTTAAACCAACATTTCCACCCCAAAGTAAATCAATCACCCAAACAGAAGTCACGAAAATAATGAAAAATAACCAACTCCAACAGTAACTGAATATATATATATTATCCCTCGAGATATTAATATATATTTAATATTATACATATTAAATGTACACATATGTGTCAGATACCTGAAGAGGTTAATTATTGTATCAGTGATATTTTGCAATAAAAGATTTAATTGGTTTTATTATTAATATTTGTGTTTGTTAATGTATAGCTAAATTTTTGAACAGAGTATGCAATGTAATTGTAATTTACAAGCGGTGGTGTCTACGACTTTAAAATGTATAAAATGATAGAAGGTTGTTGATTTATAAAATATATTTTTGCCTCTGTATATAGCTAAAGAAATAAATTGTTAACTGCATTTTTATATAAAATTTACTATCTTGTTATATCAGGTAAATAATAAAATCTATAACTTGAAAATAATTGAAATACATATATTTCTAATTAAATAAAATAATTGAAAGTACTTGCATATTTTTATAATTATTTTTCCAATTCTATTTTTACATACGCGGAGAAGCTTTATTTATATAAACAAAAATTGGCCAATGAAATTAGAAGGCTATTTAATAGGAAGTGTCGACAAAAAAATGTATAATTAAAGAATTATAAATTATTTGGCTCTGTTCAGCTTAATTATTTTTATAACGAATTTTCATCTCCTAGATTATGTATATAATTTTTTCATTTAATCTAGAAGCATTTAAATTTCCTAAATAATTTGTCTAATCGATAACAGAAATTTGTATGCCATTTTCAACAAATTTTTATATAAAAATTAGTAAAAGAATATATACACATATAACAAAGAAATTATTTGCAAATGAAAAGATTGTTGCAAATCCTTCAACACGCAACGAAGGCAGAACTTACATGGTGCTAATGAAACAATCGACACAAGAACAACTTAAATGTGATTATCTAATTTCATCTTCTAAGAAGCTGGATGGCATGCACATCTTTTGGGCTGACCCTCGTATATGCACGTATAGCAACTACTTTTTATATTCACAACACATACCGTAACTCGTTTTGCTGTACTATCGATCTATACATCATACATGGTATACCTTCACGTTTGATTTTGATACTAGCATCTCTTCCATAACGACTGACCTCCTCTAACAGCATTTTACGTGCTAATAGAACGAACTAGAGCCCGCTTCCTCCTTTACATATCCGTGATTAGAACTGTCTCTGCGAGTATCAACGTTTTAGAGCCGGAGTAGCGGCGAGGAAGGACTATCGCCAAGCCAGAGCAGCGACTACGAGGATCAAGAAGAGCTTGAGAATCAGCACTCGGCCGCCGTACACACAGTACGTGACATATACAAGTCCTCCTTTCACAAGTGTCTCCTTTCTCTCTACTTTTTGTCCTTTGTCGTTACGTTCGCAGAGCGTGTTGCATGATCGTGCCTACCTAGAACGAACGTTCCTCTAAATGTGCTGTAGAAACTACTAACGAGCGATGTACTTGCTGAAGTTATGCATGCCGTTGGGTTAGTAGAAAAGTAACGTCGGTTTCATTCCAGTCACTCTCAGCGCGAGACTACTTGTTCAGCAAATCACTATGGTTATTGCGTAAATTTTTTATTTTGAAAAATATTCCTTTTTTCGTTTTGGAAAATATTTTCCCTTTTTGGTTTTATTGGCGTTAATCTTCTTCGCAATGGTTGTTGGTTATTTTATGGGATTTTGTTAAAATATCGGCTAATTTGGGATTTTATTTGACACCTTTGTAATTTGGGATTCGATTGGCATTTTTGTCGAATTTTGTTTCAAAACAATTGTGAGTTATTGTAGAAATGTGAAACTTTTAGTTTGAAGAAATTAAAAAGTTTGTTAATTTGGGATTTTGTTCTTCGAGATCAGAATGATTACTAATTACCTAGTTTTTGAATTTTATTTGAATAAAAATTGTTAATTTCTTATTTCTATAACGTGGCAGATTAATTTTTAAAAATTGTTAATTTGGAATTTTATTAGAGTTACTGCTTGAGTTCAAAATATTTATTGATTATTTCGTATAATTTTATTTGAGATTAAAAAGAATTGCAAATATCCAATTTTACCAATTATTATTTAAACTTAGAATTAAATCATTCATTATACCGTGAAACTTTATTTCGAAAAAACTGTTAATTTGTGATAAATGTTACTAACTATGCTTAGAATAATTATTAATACCGTGACGTATTTGTGAAAATTGGGCAAGGTTTTCCAAGGAAAGAAATTACACCATCATTTTCTTTTATTAAGTAACCAATTGCTATTTTCGGGTAATATCTAAAAATAACATGTAACCTATATTAAAAAAAATTTTGATTTACAATTCGTTTAATTACAAAAATTACAAAGTAGTGATAAGTCATCTCAAACTCAATCATTCATCGATGCAAAATTTAAATTTAAATATCTCCATTTTCACTTGTATACAAAAGAAAAGAAACTTATTTCCATTACATAGAAAACCATATGCAAAAATCCGACATTACCTTTCTACTGACCCAAAACTGGTCATAGTAATGGTTACCATTGAAACATTCCACGTTGAAATCTAGGATACTTTCCTCCCTTAATTTCTTCTCTATTTGTCTATCCTGTGGGGTAAGTAAAATTCGTAAAATCAAGATCTATCTTCACTCATCTGGTCGCTTTCTCTCTCTCTCCAATCAAACTTCTCGATATTCCAACTCCCCTGTCACAATTATTCTCGGCGCCAAATTTCCTCGACTTTTTTCCAAAAGAAAAAAAAGAAAAAAAGAAAAAGAAAAAGAAAGGAAACCAACTATCGTCTAAGCTTCGTACCAGATCGGTGAAGTCGATAACAATGGAACATCACGTAACTCGATTGCATGGAAGCTTTTTCCGTTCAAACTTGTCCTTAGCCGTGCTACTCCATTGAACCTTCGTCAAACACACTTCACCGAGTCAGTAGCGTTTCGTTAACGACGTACACACGAAAAAGAGGCAAGAATGTAGACGCTTTTCCGAACATAATATCCACGAGGTATACACAACACTGGTGCGTGTGCACACCACCGACGAGTCGACGACGACGTCACGCAGGCTCCGATGCCTATATAGGTTCGTCAGCCTCTGTGAACCTTCCACGGTCCGTGCCTTACGCATAATCGTTGCATGACCTCGAAACCACGGAACAATCGTCTTACGATCACGATGAAGGATATCCAGATCTCAGTCCCTGTTGTAAAAAAGACTTTCATTGACAGACTTCGCATCGATCGAGGAACTGCGCGAAACGAAGGGCTCGTAAAGGAATTTCGCAACACGTTCGATCTAGCTGTACCAGCAAAACGATATGGCTAAATACCACTGTGTATATATCTCGCTGTGTACGATACTTTTTCATACCTGACCCGAGTTAACCCTTTGAACAGCGAGAACTTTTCGCGCGATTGTTTGAGAATTGCGTTCTCGTGATTGGAATATCTTCAAAATCGAATATTTCGTATTGAAAGAAAAAATTTAAGGATTTTAAGTAATATTCTGAATTTTGATTTGTTTATCCACGAAAATTTTATAAAGAGATGGAAGGGTTCAATGGGTTAATGTTACTATATAGGGTGGCCAAGCAGAATGCGGTCGCCTAAATATTAGCCTTATTTCTTATTGGCTATGTGGAGATAACGGAAAACTTTCAAGGACTATAGATAGTCGTGGAAAGAATTTTTTGTTAAATATATAACAAATTTTTTAAATATTTTCTCCCTTTTTTCTTTCATAAGGCGTATATTTAGGTGATTTTATTTAATTAGGACATCCTATATAGAGAATGTTCTGTAATATGCAAGAAGTACAGCAGGGGTGGTTTCTGCATACTGAAATAAGAAAAAAGCTCATACGAACATGTGCTGCATATGAGCTTGTTTTCGAGGTATAGTTTGTTTCGTGTTGTAATTATTGTGTTATATTTATTTATTTATTAATAAGATAAACTCCTTAATATATAAATAATATATAAAATCAGAAACAATCAAGAATAAAACTAAGATTGCTGTTTTCTGACGAACTAATATTCTAGCAAATAAATAAATAAATAAATTTTTATGAAGATAGTTATATTGTATTTTTTAATAAATTAGTCCAAATTCCACTTTTTCGTGTAGAACATCGCCAATTATATTTGCCTCATAAACGTTTCACTTTTAATTCGTAATTTTTCTCATTCCGTTACACAATAATTCAAATAATTCATTCAAATGATTTCATAATGATTATAATTATAATAATATTATATTATAATAATATTATGATTATAATAATATTATAATAATGATTCAAATCCACTATGTTTGATATTAGTCGTTCAATGATCTTCCAAGATGATATAGCAAAATTTAATACGAATACAATTTAATTCCAGTTATTCTGTTATTATAAATTAATTTTTATTATTTCTAACACCATAGACTTGTAAATAATGCAGAATTAAACCAAAATATTTCTTTCTATTTGTTCAAAGAAAATCTTAAATGGTCTAGAACTTTGCTTCGTCAGAAAACGCATTCACTGTATTCGTAGCCTAACTACATAGTCTAGGAAACTATACCCTAAACCTGCAATACTTCAAAATTCCTTTCAGAGTTCCACAAAAATAAAAAATTCGTCCAATCTCATGATCCCCAAATCACACAGAAAAGCGGAAAATAACTAGTACCAAATTCTGTCCTAACTTATAGTAGCTCAGGAAAGTGTTCGAACGCTATGTTTCGAGTGCTTCAAGGGAGTACCCTAACTCAAAAATTCCGATTTCAATGGAAGTATACGGGTACGTAAAGCATAACGAATTCAACGTAGATCAATCCTCTTCATTCACAGAAATCATCACTCGAATCTACAATCTAATTTTTGTTTTCTTCAACACTTTGGCTGCCATGTTGGTCATATATGACTAGCCACGATTTCTCCTGTGACGCCATGTTGGTCATTGGTGACCGGAGCGCTTGAACTACTTAAACTACATTGAACAACATTGAATGAAAATTGACAGTTAGTCCATTTCGAATAAAACCGCTAATTAGAAGATACTTTGAAATAAAAAGTGCCCCGTTGAACGATTAAAAATTTTTATTAGAACATCAAAGAATATCAGAACAAACTGAGCGAAACATATGCTTTCGGCGTGGCAGTCAAAGAGTTAATGTAATCGTATAATAGTGCGAGATAGAGTAAAAATTTATAGTAAACTATAGTAAAAAGTCATACAAATTTCTCCCTGTGATTTTACCCCTATTAATGTCATTTTCTGCTGATAAACATCTTCGTGTAACACTCGTTAGGTACTCGTTACGTGCACGCAAGCCTTCGTTGAAATCGGAATTTCCGAGAATTAGAGAATTCTTCCGAAATACAGCATTCGAACACTTTCACGGTATACTAAAAATGCCACGCGGTATTATAACACGAACTAAACTGCACCTCGAAAACTATGAAATAAAATAACTTCGATCTGCAGACCCCCGCTGCACTTGCACGCGCTACAAAACACCTGATCGACATGATACCACCATAGACGATATTCAAAGTCGATCAACTCGCATCTCGATATGTTGAAACGCTTGAGAAGCGAGAAGCATCCCTGCCTTGAATCGGGCCTTCGTTCCGTGTAACTCTTCGACCCGATTAATACGATATTGCGAAGTCCCTCTTTCCATTTACCGTCGTTGCGACCTGAAAGAGGCGTTTTGTCGCTGGACGTGTCACGCAATGGCTGGTTGAAATTTGCAGTCGGAAGCTAGCGCCCTGCTGGAGGGCGACACCAGGGCAGGGATCGCGGGTCGGGCAAGAAATTTGAGGCACGACGTGCAGCGGAAGATCTCTAGGCTCCGGCAGGATCGCGCCTCGTCCGAGGCCTTCCCGTGCAGCGCTAGCAGCGTGGAGAGCCTGCCGAGCGGAAGTGGCTCGAGCACGCAGGCACTCGTGCGTGCAGGAAGCAATCACAGTTCGATATCCTGCGAAGACAGGGACGCCATCAGTCCGACATCCATTGGCCCCGTGCTGTGCAGAGCCAGGGCTCTCGTCGATTATACGCCTAGCCCGTACGATAAGGAGGCTCTCAAGTTTAAGGTTTGTTTTCATGTGCCTTCACCTACGGCTCGTCGTCCAGGAATTTTCTTCCTTTTCTCTGATTTTATCGTTACATCGTTACTGCGTGAGTATCCGAATTTTGGGAAATTGTTACCTCTCAGTTTCGTTCTCTTAACCTTCCTTCTTCTGTCCCCTTTTTATAGATATTAAGTTCGTTGTAGTGGGTTCGCTTGAGTCTTGAGGTACTCGAGTGAAAATTAACCCTTTGTACTCGATGATTTTTTGGCTTGAGAAGAAAAGAAAATCAAAGATTCTCTGCTAAAAAATTGACGATACTTTTTTCAGCAGTAAATAAAGAATTAATACTGGAATTGTAGAATTATTTGATTTCGATACTTCGCACACTGTTATTTCGCGTTAAATTTGATGTATTAATTAATATCGATCTTCCAAATTTTATGAAATGGTGACTGAAGCTCACCTTTCGAGTGCAAAGGGTTAAATGGTAGCTGAATATACTATTTAATACAGCGGAGTTATAGTAATTTTCTGATTCATTGCATCAATATCTCAAGTCATTATATTTGATTATTACTTCCTCTGTTACGAAAATTTAATCGATCGCATATTTTGAAAATTCTGATAAACAAAATCTAAAAACATTCTCCCACAAAGAATTGCTAGAAAAATTTCTCGAAGATCAGCAAGTAATATAAAATTATGTTTGGAATCATCTCTCGGTTCCATTTGTATTGTCCTCCATTAATTTCGTAACAGAAATATATAAATTAGGAATACAGTGATCTGAGACATTGATGCAATGAATCAGAAAATTACTATAACTCTGCTCTATTAAATGGTAGCTAAATATATCATTTAATACAGCGGAGTTATAGTCATTTTCTGATTCATTGCATCAATATCTCAAGTCATTATATTTGATTATTACTTCCTCTGTTATGAAAATTTAATCGATCGCATATTTTGAAAATTCTGATAAACAAAATCTAAAAATCGGTTTTAACCCTTTGCACTCTGTGATCTTTTCGTTACAGGAAAATAGTAATTCGAAGACTTTCTGCCATAAAGTCTAGGATATTTCTAAAACGATTAATAAGAAATCGTATGAAAATTAAGACGTAGAATTCCGTGGTACTTCGATATTCCGTGGTATATTTGTATATTAATTAACATCCATTTTTAGAATCTGATTAAATGGCCACTGAGAGGCGCCTCTCGAGTGCAAAGGGTTAATACTAGGTTTACAGGGACATTCCTCGTATATCTCTACAGACACCTGTTAATTCGACGCGTGAACGAAATCAGACATTTTCTTTAAAAAATAACTAAAAATGAAATATAATTATATGTTATTAACATGTAAATGAAACTATGATATATATATATATATAATTTCAGTCAAATCCTATTGAATTGAAATGGCTATAGCAATTCAATAGGAATTTTCCACCTTATTTATACAAAAAAATGAGCTCATCAAGATATTAGTCGAAAATGTCAATAAAATTGAATTTTTCAATCAAATCTTATTGAATTGAAATGGTTATAGCAATTTAACAAGAATTTTCCTCCTTATTTATGCAAAAAAATTAGCTCGCCACGATATTAGTTGAAAATGTCAATAAAATTGAATTTTTCAATCAAATCCTATTGAATTGAAATGGCTATAGCAATTCAATAAGAATTTTCCTCCTTATTTATGCAAAAAAAATTAGCTCACTACCATATTAGTCGAAAATGTCAATAAAATTGAATTTCTCAGTCAAATCCTAATAAATTGAAATATATATATATATATTTATATAAAATTTATAGTTATTTTTGTTTAAATGTAAACGGTGTCTGCAATTTTCCTCCTGAAATTCGAGATTCGTCAAAATGACATGTCCCGTAAACCTAGTGTCTTAATTGTAATAAATTTACTGTTAAAAGTATATCAAATGTTACTTGAAAATTGAAAATTATCGTGGGAGTATAAAATGTCGTAACGCGTCTCGAGTTATCATATACTGGGTGTCTTACCAATTCTGGCCGATATAATGACAAGAGAATTATTATATAACGATAATTGGTTTTTTATAATTATAGAAAATTAATTTTGGTTTCTTTTCAATGAAATTCCAATTTTTAAAATTTCCAATTGCGATGCCAGAATATATCCTAAATTTCTTCACTCCGTGTTCGAGTAAATAGCAAATAGCTCAATACACGATATTTACTTTCATAATTAAAATTCTCAATATTATTTGATATCGATAAGTTTTTTAACACTTTGTTGACCGGCAATTTTGCGCAGAAACATTATTTTGCATTTTTCTGTATATCGCTAGTTGTAACTTCCGTCCATGGTGAAGTTTCTGCAGAATTTTTATGAAATTGTTTCATTTGGAAGTAGCATAAATTGGTTTGAGAAACAACTAAATGAAAATCAAAATTTATCAAAAAATAAATCCCTAAATTCTACAGTACACGCGAAATGTTTGAATAATCCTATCAGATTCTATAACATTTCTTTTTGACATTTTGTTGGAATAATGTCAGATTGATCACTTTCCGAATCACTGCAATTTATTTCGAAGTCACTGGGTCAATCAGATGAAGAAAGTATCTGTGTATAATTCATTGAAGCTTTCTTCACCGTTACGTTCGGTGATGGTTGAAATTTTCGAAATACTAAAATTGTAATAAAAATTTAAATACCAAGAAAAATATTTCCTTTATTATAAAGCAGACACGACTAAACACGATGCACAAAGCTTTTGCGATATTCTATATCGCCCTGGGTTCCATAAATTGAAATAGATAATGCAAGTGCAGTGGCGAGTTAACTCGTCATCGGTCAACAACTTTTGGGCATGAGAAGACGAGTTAACTCGTCACCGGTCAACAATGTGTTCACATAAGATTCTTATTCAGTGATTACATAGCTGTTAACCCTTTGCACTCTGAGAATTTTTACCACGCAGTAAACATTTTTCTGAAATAAAGTTTCATCATCGTGTGTTATCGTATTCGACGAGTGCCGCCCGTGATAACCGCTTTCGTAGCGGGTGAGTGCCGCGAACAGCTCTACGATGGCTCAAAACACAGCACACTCGCGGGCACAAGATATTGACACTTTACCAACCGCTTCAACGGCATACGTACTGTGCGTTGCAGGAAAGAAGCCATCTGAGAAACTTGTAGGACCGAATCCCCACCAATCCTCACCAACCCACGCATTCTAATTCCATCGCAGATGCAGAGTAAACGCGCTCCCCTTATTGGCAGAAATGATCCCTTCATATTAGCCCGGTCATAGAACACCGTGTGACAAAGAAAGCGAACGAAGCAACGAGACAAAGTGAGACAGACGCAAAAAATAGATGCAAGAACGTAGACTCATCTCAAAGCGTAGTAGTGTTTCCAATTCATTGTAAGTTAACTCTGAGATAACATTTCTTTCGTTAATGTTAACGTATCACGTTACAGAACTTGGAGATAGTAGTTTTGGGAATGTCATAGAAGAGTGGGTATCACTAACGAGAGTATAGGCGAAGCAATATGGAATACCCCTGTTGCCCGCAACCGAACGAGATGACTTCTTTCCTGCAACGCATAGTACTTCTTCTACGATTCTCCCTGACGCCGGCTCTGTTTCGGTTTAGACTGTCGCACGGGAGTATCTGTGCGTTTCGTATGCTCAGATAAATTTGTAAAAAAAAAACAGACACTAAGGACATAAAACAGTCCTCCACTTGACCTGGGACATTGCGGTCCTGTGGGAGATTTCCCACAATGTGGGAGCTTACAAAGCAACGCAACTAACGCAACTGAGCAACGTACCAAAAGGGCTAAAAATACGCTATCGGTCGGTAAGCATCGGCGACCAAAAGCCGATTAATAGGCTTCCGGTCGGTAAAGTGTTAAGTCGGAAGTAGGAACGCGTGTATGAAAATCAGGAAAAGCTTATTTCGCGATTGCGAAATCGAGCTCCCTCACCTCGACAAGGTATAAGCACTTGAGGAGGGCACGGGGGTTCAATCACAGGAAAACAATCGCACCAAATCAGCGAGTAGCGTTCCAGTCGTGTCGGTTCGCAGCACTCAGCCGGTACGAAAGCGGTTATCACGGGCGGCACTCGTCGAACGCGATAACACCTCGTACGAGAAAAACATTATCATTTACCCCCTCCACCACTATTTACAAATAAAACTAAATCGCGAATCGACGAGTGCGAAGGGTCAATGGTGAATCACGATCACGAAACCCCATTACTCCCACAGCCACATTCTCATCCCTCTCCCACCCCTTCAAACACAATTATCTGCTTCCCTTTATTTTCTTCTTCTTCTTCTTTTCATTCTTTTATTTATTTTTTTTTTTTCGAAATTTCCCGATGCTACGTGACTTAACAACGATCCCAGCTAGCACGAACAAACGCGAACGTCGAATCTGGTGTTGAGTTCCACGAATTAGAAAGTGTAAGAGTTCTCAAGGTTTTTCTCACGTGGAAATCGCGAGGCGAATTGCAACACGAGCTTTTGTTGCAGAAGGGAGACATCATCGACGTGGTGCAAATGAACAAGAGCGGTCTGTGGAAGGGTGTTTTGCACAACAGGATAGGCCACTTCAAGTTCATAAACGTCGAGATACTAAACGACAGGGTTCCAAGGCGCGGCGAACCCGAAGGGCGGGGGAAGTGGGGCCAGAGGTATAGGCAGAAGCCCGGTTCCGTTCAAGAGCTCTTGCAGAGAATGAATCTTCAGGTAGAGAGCAATATCTTGCCACGGCTCGAACAAACTGATTCGCATTTGCATCGCTTCGAATGCAAAGCAGGGAACCTGCTTTTATACGTTTCTTTATTCGCCGGACCTTTCTCTTTTCATCCACATCCCACCCCGCCGATCACCCCACTCTTGCGTGCCCCTTTTATACCGCGGTACAATACACAGTTCCACGGTACGTGGCGTGTTCCTTTTTTCTCCTCGACACTTCCTTTTTTTATATCCATCTTTCTCCTCCCCTTATCTCGTACCATCGATTCCCTGGTTCCTGCTTTTCTCCTCTTGTCGCGAGATCTTCTTTAGCGATAAATGTTTCGTCTCTTTCGCCCCACCGGCTAGGAGATCCTCGATCCGAGGGATTTGTACCTCGCAGAGAGATTCGCGGGACGAGATGGGAAACTACACACTGATGAAAGTTAAAAATTCCGAAATTTTTTGACGCCTCTTTTTCTTGGTTAGATGACATTGAAACGTGTACTGGGAAAAAATTACTTGTGTATTGGGTTGGCAACTAAGTGATTGCGGATTTTGTCAATAGATGGCTTTTGCACGTTCTTTTGTTCAGTCAACGTGTTCAAGACACCTAACTTATATTGTTTTCCTGCTGTTTGGACTTCCGCCTTTAATTTAGTTGAAAAATTGTATCGATTAGTTATTTAGTTTCGTTTTTATCCCAATTTAAAAATGGAAGAACAAGACGCGCATTTCGGACATATTTTATTGTTTTATTTCCGAAAAGGCAAGAACGCATCGCAAGCACGCAAGAAGTTATGTGCCGTATATAGGAATGAAGCCTTGAAAGAAAGACAGTGTCAAAATTGGTTTGCCAAATTTCATTCTGGTGATTTTTCACTGAAAAATGCGCAACAATCTGGCCGTCCAGTTGAAGTTGATGAGACCCATATCAAGGCCATTATCGATTCTGATCGTCATAGCACGACACGTGAGATCGCAGAGAAGCTCAATGTATCGCATACATGCATTCAAGAAAAATTAAAACGGCTTGGCTATGTCAAGAAACTCGATTTATGGATCCCTCATCAGCTTAAGGAAATTCATTTGACGCAACGCATTAACATCTGCGATTCGTTTCTGAAACGCAACGAAATTGATCGATTTCTGAAACGACTGATAACTGACGACGAAAATTGGATAGTTTATAACAACGTTAATCGGAAAAGATCGTGGGTGATGCAAGATGAACCAGCCCAGACGACACCTAAATCTGAGATTCGCCAAAAAATGTTGTATTTTCCTTCTTATTTAAAATCCGCAATCACTTAGTTGCCAACCTAATATATAGCTTTCCTTTCTTTTTTTTTCAGATATGCATATGTACAGTACGTGATAAAATGATAGTGCATTTCGTAGTTGAGTATGAATATGTTTATAGCGTTTCTGAAAAGCATTCTGTATTATTTTAGTATTTTTTGATATTTTAACAAATCTGATTATTATCATTTTACGTGTAACAATTTTTACAGCGAATGCACTGTATAATGAATGTTTAATATAGTATTAAGAGCTGAGAGACAAATACATTCGTACAAGTTTTATTATAGTTTTGTCTATGATTAAGGAAGTTTCTGAGAAAGAGACTTATAAGCTTATTAATTTTAATAAATTTAATAGTTCATTGTTAATATTAATTTTAGCTTAATTTGTCTTAATTAACGGAATATTGAGTTTAAATTTTAGGAAAATATTTTTTGAATAGTTAATTTCCAAAGATGTAAAATTATTATCTAATTTCATTTGATCGAGTTCATGTATGAATTAGTATTTGTTAAAATGATTTTAATTTTTTCAATACGTTAATTGCTTATGATTCTCAAGAACGATTTAATTTTCCCGCGCTTTTATATTTGAATTTCGGTTCTTTCAGAATAAAGCTGTGAATTACAATTTAATCGTTTTATTTGATATTTGTAATAAATTTCAATTTATAGTCGATTTAAAAAATTATATTTTCACTGTTTAGCTCTTTTATTTCTTTTTCATTAAAATATGAGAAAATATATATTAAAATATATATTAACATAAGTGATCGAATGTATTGAAAAATATCAAAGCATTGTAGAAATATAATTTTTTCTTTTTCAAAATTCAAAGAATTAAACAATTGCATTAAACAATTAATTATTTTTTTAGTAGTAACTGATATGTATAATTAATTAAAACATTAATGAAGTAATTAACAAAAGGATTTCTAATTTAATTATACATATAGAATTATTTATATTAAAAAATTTTTTTATTTCATACCATTATCTTAATAGAATAAATACAATACATAGACAAACATCAAAACAATTTTCGTGCGAGGTAACAATTTATTTTTGAGGCTGTATCGAATTAAAAATAATATTTATTAGGTGAACTATTTTGTTCAAGACTGATTAAACAAAACGAAAATAAAAATAGTGACAATCTGAATAATTTATCTTTTCAGGAACACATTCCTGTTTTTGTATTTAACGGATACGAGGATTTGGAGCTCTTCAGGGAAATTGAAGCTGCGGACCTTGATTACTTGCGTATACATCAGCCCGAGCATCGTGCTAAAATCCTTACCGCTGTGCAGTTATTGAACGATCTTCAATGTAAGTTACTACTAATTATTTTTAACCAATTTAACATTTTATTACCGTAGATATATATTATAATTCGAATCTAGAGTTTAATATGTATTTTATCAGTACGTGTAAATAATAATTTTAATATAAATTTTTATACATTTTGTTACTGTGCATGCAACAATTTTAATGTAGATGTTGAGATATATTTTTCTACTGTGTATATATATAATAATTTCAATATAAGTTTTAACTTTGAAATATTTTGTTGCAATATTAACTTAGTGAATATAATAATTGTTTTTAGGCTTTCTGGATATTATGCTTCCATTATATTGCATTTTTTAATTTTTTTTATGTTATTTTAATATATATTATTATGATTAAACTATTTATATTTTAAATTATTTTAAATTTTTGGTAGATCCAAATAACAAGAAAAAAGTGGAAGAAATACATAGTTAATACCCTTTCGTTAAAACTTCCAAATAATTAATTTATTAAAAAGTTACAAATTTCAAGGTACAACAATATTATATCTAACAACGAACCATCATTTTGATACCAAACTGAATAAAAGGTACTAATAAAATAAGGTTCTTTACTATTAACTTTACTATTTACTAATTATCATTAACTCTTGACAAAATAATTGTCTCCATCTATTAAATAACTAATTATAAGTCTCAACCAAAATGAATTTTCAATCCTATCCCTTTTTCAACAAGCACATTAAACTGATGTTTAATCTAGCAACATAGAAACCCGCACTTTCCCAGTAATTCGAACTATTTATTAAAATTTATTTGAATTCCATACGAAAACAAATAACTTCTCTCAGCCAAAGAGAACTCAGTTTCAAACCCTTCTATAATACCTCATCCATGCACCCAAGAACTGCATCGAACATGGCAAACAATCCACCCTCTTATTCCTTCCCAGCAGATCCCAGACGTGCAAAAGCTACAACAAAACGCGAAACTACAACTTAGTTTTTGTTCTGTCCTAACAGCCGGAAGCGAGGGCGATTTAGCATCAAGCTCAGAGGGCGACGAGGTGAGTCGTCTGGTCTTAACCTCTGGCCAGACATCCGGCCATTGTTCACCGTTTAATCGCCGCCAGTTCCCGCGGGACTCTGGCTGTTACGACGCTCACAAGAATCCCACCAGCCGGCGAACCGTGAGTCCTGAATCGGCAACGACCACCAAGCTGCCCAGGGAGAACAATCTCGACGCGGCAACGCCAGCCAAGAGCGTCGGCGGCGTCACTGCAGAGGGCAGCACCGTCGCGGACAGCAAGGACGACTTTCATCCGAACATACCGATCACTGGCAACGCGGCCGGCCAGAAAGAGGGCCAATTCGACAAGTCGCCGTTGCTACGTGGCGGGAACGTTCGTTTCATAGCGAAACGGGGCAACTTTGGCGAGACCGTGGTGATCGAGGACGCCTGCGAAAGCGGTCAGAAACTCGCCGGGATGGTGAAATACGTGGTCGGTGGCGGCGACCTTGGCCTCGAGGCCACAGGCAACATCGCTGGTCTAAGCCAGAGGGGCTGCCTCAGCGAGAAGTCCAGCGACTCTGGCGTCAGTTCATCCAGCATCAGCTCAGCTCCTCCGCCTAGGGATAAGGTTCTCGCCAATGTTGCTTCTGACTCGCCCACTAAGAACTTCGGTAACTTCACCAGGGCATCGCCGACTTCTCAGCCGGCCAGCAGTAAGAGTCAAACTGGAGAGGCTAGTTACCAGTAATCGGCGACGCTCCGATTTCTCTTACCTTTGTATCGTGTCTTGTTAAGTTCCATTGTAAAATTGACGGGGTTGAAAATCTTACCCTCCGATGTCGATGCAGTATTCTGTGTCGCGAGTACTCTATGATCAGCCGAGGTCTAGACTTTCTGACATGGGTCCAGTTGGACTGATACGAGACGAACAGCATGTTCGAGGAACAGGTTTCGTGGTAGGACGATGATCGAAATTTCTGGGTTCGAATGTTTCGATGATTACTTAGGGAATATACAGAGTACTATGTATCAGCAGAGCTTAGGAGCGCGATGGTTTATACGAAGGTACATCTTCTTTCAGCTCTTTTCTCATATTTTCGGCTTTCTTTTCTCTGTTCCTCTCTTGTAGGATTACGTAGAGTTATTCAATGAAGGAACGTTTAGAAGGTAACTCGTTGAAGCGTATTTCATGCGACATTGCGTTCCCTGATTCGATTTATCGAACGAACTTGAATTAGGAACGTGGTTAAATACGAAATGTACGTTCATGAAGGAATCGTTTTATTGTCCCATGCCCGAAAACTAGCCATGCAATGCTACTCGATGTCCGATCCAATATATCCTGCAAACGTTTCACTGCAGGATTTCTTTTGTTTTAATTTCAGCTCGGAGTGAAGCGAAATAACGCGGTGCTTCGCTAACTTTTATTGCCTTGTCGATTCTTTGTCCTCGTTACTTTATAATCGAAAGTATGCCGCGATTCGTCTGTTTTTCAACGGGAACTCCAGCTCTTTATAACTCGACAACGGATCACGGCTTTACGCGATTATTCTCCTTGTGAATTTTTACAGCCGCGGATAACGGAGATAAGGGGATAGGGCCGAGGGGTTGGATTTATGGAGATTCGACGAGAAAGGCGAGCTAAATGTTTCGACATTTCGATCGTAACACGAATCGAACTGAATTTGGCAGTTTCGCTTGACCAATCAGATCACCAGAGGGGAAAAGTTGCCATGTCACTGCCAGTCATTTCATGATCTCGTCTATCGTTTTCGACGCTCGTATAATTAACTAATGATAATATTGTGATAAGATTGCATTTATGTCTACGTAATTTGTAAATAGATAGAGACCTGCAATAGGAAATTCATCTTTGCAATTTGTATACAATAAGCTACGAGAACAGAGACTAAAGAGACGTTTTCACGAGAAGTAACGAGAGGACACGTTGATCTGTCAATCGAATTAGACGTCGGAGACTTTGGTCAGCTATTTAGCCTGTCTCTATAGCGAATGGCTGATTATTAGTCAGGAATCGCTAGATTAACGACTGCCAACACGATTCGAACCTTTCCACGGGTGTTGGAATGTTAGGCTTCTCGTCTTTCGATTTGATTTACTGAGAATGGTACGTATGATTTGCAAGTTTGCAAGCACACCTGATGAGAAGGTCCCAGTGGTCTGTGACACGTGGATGAACACGAAAGACGAGCGATGATCTATTAAAGCACTCTGTAGTTACTGGTAATATACGATCTAGTTTATTTGCAACCCGGGGAATACCGCGCAATTTGAAAGTAAAGTTGGATAAAATAGTGAGGTAATGGGTATGTACAAAGTTTGAACGCAGGACTAATTTTCTATCCGATTTTATAGTTTCCCTCTAGCGTTGTATAACATTATAAAGTAATCGTTCACACTTATGCACAAAATGGCGGTCTCGAGTGTTTAGGAGAGAAGCGTCGTATTGAAACCGTAGATCTGCCCTGTACGAAATCCATCGTTGAAGTACCTTTTATGACATTATTTTATCCAATCCTGTAACCGATTCATTTTCGCAACCTTCGCTGTCGCTTTGACACGAATTTTTCATTTGGAGGAATTACTAGTACATGGTCGACAATCCCCATCATCGATGCAACTTAGTTCTTCGACAAGATGGTTAACTGTACATGTGTATATTGACTATGACACAAAAAAAAGGAAGAAAAATGGATGAAAAGAGATTTAAAGTTATAAAGTTTTTGTATGTACATACAGCACGCATAGAAACCTAACGATGTTTTATATTGATCCAACCTTTGCCAAAACTTTAGACTATACAGATCTATACATAAATATACATATGTTATATATCATACCGTTGGCTCTTATGTACATCTTTTGTATAGTGTAAAATGGTAGACGAATTTAAAGCGACAGAGAAACGAGATCAGGAATGAAACCGACGAGAACTCGTGCATGATATCGAGAAAGGGGGAAAAATCGATCATCAAAATACGGTCTAAGGGACTCTCTATTAATGTAAATAGAATACATCAAAATATATATTGGTTTCGGGGCGCGAGCGACCCGACCACTATCCAAAATGGCGGAGACTGATGAGCAAACGTTAGAGATCTTATAATCTTTAAGATGCATGTTTACCTTCTCTTCATTATTATCGATTTACAAAGTAGCATTAGAAGATTTAACCCCATTTTGTAACGTCTGTTACGCTTTTTCGTACGACCATTGACGAATAGAGAGCATCGATTCTATGTAGAAACTTTATAGAGATACGCGAGACTCTCAACCGTGATGATTGGCCCGGCAGAGAAGCCCGGGGGTAAATAAGTTGACACACGCTGCTTCCAGAATAGCGATTGTTTTCACACGTACTTTATCGATATACCGCATTAAGTGATCCGTATTGCAAGGTTCAATCGTACCCGGACGAGACGACTTGATTTACGTTTTAATTTAAGAAATTCCGTTCGTTGGGAAGACATCCACCGAGATCTGCCCCTGACGAGGACGTTCTACTCGAAATTGAAAACAGGTTTCGCGCGGTGGCAATTACCGATCGAAAATATCTTCGTTACTTTGTGTACAGAAATCACGGCGATGCTATAGTTTGTCCGTTCCACGAGGAATAATATTACGCGTAGAGAGAACGAATCAAAGAGAGAGAGAGTAAAACAGATGAGAACGAAAACGGTAGGATGAAGCGAATGAAGACGCGCGCGGAGAAGAGAAAGGGAGTGAGAATGTATGAGAAAATGTGAAAATTAGCAATGTTTCGAGAGAGTATGATTAGATGCGATACAAATAATTTTATTAGTTCGAAAAGTACGCAAACGTTTGATGTAAAGAAAAGAAAAGGAAAAAAAAAATCAGATTCGTTATTAAAAATAGATGCAGTGAATTATAATCGAAGTAAGTAATTTGAAGAATAGATACGTGAAGGTAAAGGTGTCTTAGCGAGTGCGTCAAGCGTGTTTACGATTCGAATTTCGCGCGAACTGAACGAATGGACGGAACCGTGTTCGTTCCGATGGCCGTCTAGTGAGAAAATGGCGGCCAGCGTGAGGGAAATCGACGAAGCACGGTATCTAATGAGTCGCTAAATCGCTAGTAAAATGAAATTATTAAGCATCTACTTAGCGGTCTAGTCCATTTTTTCTTGCAAAGTTTACAATTTGATGCGATATATGTATAATGTACATAAAGTAAGAAAATAAAAGAACAGGATTAGGGAAATGGCAATCGCGTCAGCGTGAGTTGCTGAACCTTTTTATAAGCTGATTTTTGTATTTATTGATTAATTGCGGGTTTTATAGAGGTAACAAATTCGTAATTCTTATCGTATCTCAGTTCTTGTATGGTTTCCAACAAGTGTTAATTTATTGACTGTGAATAGAAATAAATGACGGAAGATTCAAACGAACAGTTGCTTCTTTTACTCCTACCTCTTATAATGAACTAATTAATGCGATAATTACGTATTCTTATAGTTACAACAATAATAATTATATATTCTAATTTTATATAGAATATTATGATATTTGACAATTAGTTATTACACGTATTAAAGTAATTTAATATATTAAATCTTAGACGTATTCAAATATAATTTATATATTCCAATTTAAATAGAATATTATGATATTCGATAATTAGTTATTGCACGTATTAAAGTAATTTAATATATTAAATCTTAAACGTATTCAAATATAATTTAGTGCTAAAAAATTGTATACAATTACGATTAAAATAAGTATATTATTATAATTTATAATCGTAATGTACGTAAGGTAAGTATATTACTATAATTTAGTATATTATTACATCAAAAATATTATTTCCATTATAATAACTTTAATTTTTCTTTCGTAAAAAACTTCGTAAATTCGAAAATCTCATATTCCCAATAAATCACGTTCGCTGTTTAAAAAAAAGCTTAATTTATCTTCCTTCATACACAGGGTGTCCCAAAAAACGTATACACACTTTAATACCTTATTCTTCCTAATTTATTTCTTATGTAATCTGTAATCCATCTAAATATATACTGTTTCTATAATCACGCAAAGTGTGTATACATTTTTTTGGGACACCCTGTATTTAACACGAAAGATAATCCAATATACTTCCATAGTTACGAAATAGAATTAAAAAAATTAATTTTCCAAAATCATCAATCCATAAACACGATCTTTTTGCAACACTAACCTTATAAGGTATTAAATGCAATTATTTATACATCGACGACACACATAGTTATGAAAATGAAACTTTTACATACCCTTAAGGGTAAGTTTCATTTGTGTTCTTTTTCTAATTTCTCGGTAAGAAAATAATAATTAATTGAATAATTGTCCAAATTTTAATATTCTCTATGTTAAGCCTTGGAATGTCGTCCCGGTATTTCGTTCGGCCCTTTGTTTAGAATAGACCGTGTGAAGGCTCTGAAAGTTCTCAAGTACCATTGATGAGGCCCTAGGACCGCAATGTCCCAAGTAGAAGGTTGTTTATATCCTTACTGTCAGCGCCCTTTGATTTCTTTAGCACCTAAGCCACCACTTAGGTAATCCGCAACAAACAACTATATATCACCCTTCAAGAAGACAAGCACAATTATCTAGATTGTTTAAACAACCACCACCACCAAAGGACGCTGAAGTTAACATACACCCCCAACGTCATAGCAACCAATCAGCAGAGAAACCAGGATTGTATAACCACCGAGAGAGTCAGTACCAGTCA